GAAAGAAAGAAAGAAAGAAAGAAAGAAAGAATCAGAAGCAGGACAAAGAGGCTACCGTATTTGTATTTTGCTGATAGCCTTTAGCTCAGAATAGGTTTATTGGACACAGGGCAGACCAGCAGTAAGGTCAAAATGTTAAAAGAATATGATACCTTTTTTGAAGCCAAATATTCCTACTCTCATGACCTTGTACCCATTGTATTTCGTTGGGTATAATCTGATATACCGTGCTCTGGTTCTGATAATGGAATTCTTAACGTACGAATTCTGGTCTGTGTTTCCAGTAAATATCTAAAATAACGAAAAATAAAATAAAACGAAACGAAACGAAACGAAATTTAATTAGATAAAATAAAATGAAATAAGATAAAATAAGATAAAATAATTAAAAAAAACGTTGTAACAAGTTTATCAAAACTATTTTTTTGGGCATAATGTTATTTTGAAATTTGTAACTATTTTATCGGCATTTCCACGCGGCTTTCGTCCAAACATTTGGTGATATACGGAAAATAATGAAATGAGCACGGGAAGGTCCACAGTAATTTTTAAAAAAATATCCTCTGTATGATGATTAATGAAGATTCCTTCTGCTCTTTTACCTCCTCCTGCTAAAAGGAATTATTTAAATGGATGATACTGAGTTTTCAAATACCTTATCGATGCCATTCTCTTGATACGGCATCCAGTTTTTGTCGTTCATCGAAAGGCTGACCTTGTACTCTGTCACCCACTCTTCACCATTACCCCTACCTTGTGTAGTTACAGCACAGATGACATAAGGAAATCCAAGGTCAACCTGTAGGTAGTCGTTTGGATTGGTTGTTGTCTTTGGGGCCCAGCCAAAGCTAGCATTAAGTCTGCCATTAAAAGGGAGGCCAAAAGGATACGATGCGGACGATGCGGACGATGCTGTGAAGCTGCTGTCAGGAATGATGTATTTGTTTTCAACGCCGATCGATGTGTTGGTGCAATCTGGTAAATAGAATAACATTCGCTGTTACCAAATCTTATCATTACATGTGTTTAGAATTGCAATTCACCAAACAATAGTTGTTTGAAATCGACTATGTTCGACGCGCCTGAATTAGGTACGACAAAAAATGAGTTCGGCCGTGCCGTGAGAGAGAGATATATATATATAATATAAGGTTAAGGAGGAAAAACTATTATTTTCCACTTGGATCCGTACGTGACATTTTATCCCTCTCGTGACTTTACAAATGGCAATGGTAAATCTAGAAACTTGAATGTGCAGCCAATCATGTCGCAAAAACATGTGMTATCGGTCACTGCGTTACTGCCAACTTTGAAAGCGTTAAGACATATACAGTTTGTTATTATTCCAGCTACAGCTTATTGGAACTAGACAAGGTACCTAACATTTGGTCGAATCAAAATTTTAAAAGAATAGGTTGTTTGCAAGATGTTGATTTCGCGTGTGCAGAGTCGGTCCATTTAGTTTCCTTACTCAAGCATGAACAGAATGCTAGGGGGACAGGAAACGGTAAAAAAAATGCGTTTTAGTGAAATTTCGTCAKTTCTTCTTTAACCCTACAATATTAACCGTTAGCCCTTTTGTTTTTGCCCTTTTAATTCTCTTCAATCGTTTTCAATATTTTCCATCAACTGATGGCAGTGATAATCAGTTTGCTATGTTTAAATACTTTAACTTGTAAACAAGCTTTGCAGTATTGGGTAAATGTTAGCCAACAACCTGTGGTAYACTAAGACATTTCTATTGATTAGAATAAAAAGTTGTGTTTCGAGATTCTACAGCGATAACTTGAGGTATTCATGTCATTTGTTATTGGTCGTTAGAAATTTTTCGCTTTTGATAATCAAATATTAGCTCACACCCTATTTTTTACAAGCAAATTCGAGGCACGAATGTTCACACGCAATGCGAGACTAGTTTTTATTGAAACCAGGATTCAGGAATGGGAGCCAGTAATTTACTTATGTTATACTTACCAAGCTTGATCGAAACTCCTGGAGAGATGGAAACGAGTTTTAGCACTAATAGCAGCATGGTAAAAGCCTTTAAACGCAAGGCAAAATATAGAAACGGTGCAACCATGACGGCTTGCAGTGAAGACGAGAAAGTATAACTCGATATGTAATGACTTCAAGTTCGAACCACGAGTAGTAGCTCAGCGTCTGCCTTAAAGGATGGTTGGACCAGCTTTTATATATTTAATGGCGACACGGCTCAATTGTCATTAATTATCATATTAGTGGTACTACGAGCACCTTTTCTAAAGTTTTAAGGAAACGTAATTCCAATCGATGGCGTGACAAGCATTTACCGGAAGTTGGTTGATATCCGTGTGCATCAGTGAAGAAAAAATAATAAGTAATTGTCATAGCACATTGCATATGAACTAACTTTTAAGAAGGAGCTTACCTTTTCTTTGGATGGTTTTCTTTTGATTGTCTTTTCATTTTTATGCTATTTAATTGACATTAGTGGTACTACGAGCGCGTTTTGAAAAGTGTTAAGGAAACGTAATGCAAATCAATAGCGTGACAAGCATTTACCGGAAGCTGGCTCTCCTTTTATTATGGTTGATATCCTGCGTGTGCATGAAGAAACAAATAATATGTAAATGAAATAGCAGACTGCATATGAACTAACTCCATGTGGAATGGACTTTTGATGATTTTCTTATGTTTATTTGTTCTTTTTAATGCTATTTCATTTCATATCTCTTATCCTTTCTTCCTTTTYAAATCACTCCTTCCCTTTCCTTTCCTTTCCTGTTCCTTTTTAATTTATTTTTGGACTCTTCAATGGACTCTTATTAAATTTAACTTGGATGCAAAGCAAGCTTGAAATACGAAATAACTGACTCCATCAAATAAAAATTTAATTTAATCTCGTTTGTATTTTTATTTTTAAGACAATATCGAGAAGGATCTATTAAGCATGTAATTCATAATAATTACAAGTGTGGTTACGTATTTCCGGTCATTGACACTGCAAACAAATTGTACAGCTTCCTTGGGCGTGTCTTTGTTTTTCTAAGATAAAATGATCAATGATTAAAAGATAATGCTCTCAAACTTTTATGCTTTCTGCTAATTAACTCCGCTGCTTAGTGACTCAGATAAATACACAATAACTGGAACTCTTTACCTTGGGAGTAATGTTTTTCCATTTTGAAACCTCGTGTCCTTATCTTCAGAATAAGATACTTTGTGTTATTCATGTTCAACTCAAGCATTTTCTTATGCGCAACCAAATAAATGATACTCTAAAGAATACCACGTGGTCTGAAATGGGTAAACATTACGGTCAAGGTAAAGGTTTAATGATAGTAAATATTGAACCCGCTACAGTACAACGATTTTATAAGTCTAGCCAGTTTGAATAAACCTACATCCTATCGTTCTAGGAGGGGCGGATGCATCATTTCCCCGCTAATGTACACGCATACGAGTTTCAGTTAAGAGTTTCCTGACATGTCCACAAGAATTATTGCAATTTCGGTGTCGAGATACGTGGTGCAACTGATAATTAACTTGTAAATATGTTCAAAGAAAAACTAAGAAATAAAACTTGTTAACTTTACACGCACAAAAAGAAAGAAAGAAAGAAAGAAAGAAAGAAAGAAAGAAAGAAAGAAAGAAAGAAAGAAAGAAAGAAAGA